ACCCAGCCAGCAGTGTGTGGACTGGGAGCAGTGTGCTATCGCCAGGCTGGGCTTGTCTGAGGGCAAGGGGCAGGGCTGGCTCCCAGCAGCAACGCGCACTCCTGGCAGGCAGGGGGATCCGTGGCCCCCAGATCTCTGCAGGGGCAGGGTGGTTGCATGCTGGGGGCTCATGCTTCCCCCACAGCCAATGCAGTCCAGCGTGTGTGACCTGGCGTGAGGGGCACAACCCTGTGCTGCTGCCCCTGTGCACACAGGGGAAGTGTGGCCAGGGCAGCGCAAAGCTCGGAGCGGCAGGCAGCTTTCTTGCATCCCCCCACTGTGTGCTGCCATGCTGGGTTGCACATGCTGCGCTGTAGAGGCCTTGAAGGAGTTCAGCAGAGCAGGGAGCGCAAGCCTGCAGCTTGTACCTGCCCTGCCCCCACACAGATCTGGAGGCCATGGGTCCCCCTGCCCCCTGGGAGTGCATGCTGCAGCTGGGAGCCGGCCCCGCCCCCCAGACAAGTCCAGCCTGGCAATAGCGCACTGCTCCCAGTCCATGCGCTGCCAGCCAGGCAGGCACTCCCACGGGAAGCTGGCTGGGGCCTGAGGGAGTAGGGGGGTGTTGGGGAAAGCTGCACGTGGAGTGCCCGCTTGGCTGGCGGCACGTGGACCCAGAGTGGCACAGTATGGGCCAGAGCAGGCTCCACGCCTCCATGTGCAGCTTCCCTGAAGGGCCAATACCATACTGCTCCGGGTCCACGCACCGCCAGTTAGGCAGGCACTCCATGTGGGGTTCCCCCAGCACCTCCCCATTCCCTCAGCCCCCAGCCACACACCAACACACTGCCCCCCACCTGCCCTACTGGCACTTCCCCCAGCCCCCTGGAAGCCCCACTTACCTCACAGGCTCCAGGAAGAACAGTGAGCCTGAGCCAAGCCTTGGGTGACTGAGAGCCTCAGCTCCTGCACCCCCCCCCTGGGTTGGGGGTTTCCCCCAACCTTTTTGCAATCAGCTTTTGCAGCCTGGAAGTCTGCCCTCCTGCAGAGCTCTTTGCAAAAGTGGAAAATCAGCAGGTATCTCTGCTAAAAGGGAAAATCCGTTTTTAATCTGATAAAATCGGGAAATCCATGGTTTTCTCTGTTTTTCTGTGGGAAATAGAAAACCCAGATCCCTGATGATCAGCATCAAGACTAGATCATTGTATTGAGGTTTTGTCGTAAGATTTGCTGTAAGGTGTTTTTGGGGGGTTTTTTGCTTTTTTTTTTAACTTCCCAAATCATTTTTTAAAGAAGAAAATCTTATGAATTTGACATTAAAGTGGCTTCTTTGTAATCCTCAATTATGTAAAACACTTTCTTGTAGCTATGACCTACAGAAACGGATAAATGAAATGGAAACACAAAAGCAAAAAATTCATGAAGAGACTAAAGATGTTAATGAGAAGAGTAGTAAACTTGCTGATGAAATGAAAGATAAGACTAAAGCCTTAAAAGATATAGAAAAGTAAGTGTTACCATTATCTTAAGTTATAATAGCACTATCTGCATTTTTGTGAATATAAAGCTTTTAGTGCTGCTGAGTTATTTTTGTTTCAAAGTCCATATTGTGTTTTGTTCTCCACCCTCAAATAACAACACAAGTCATAAATACTCCTGCTCTGCTTTCATATGTCCAGTTATGTTTAATGGGAATTGTATGGAAAAAAATTAGTATGTGGCATTCTCTTACGGACTGGGAAAGCATTAAGTGCTCCTTCATAAGGCCAACTTTGTGGCATGCCTTTTTAGCCTCCATAATTTCCACAGTGAATTTCAATATTTCCATCCTTTGCAAGGAGGCAAAGCTGCTGCTATTAGGCTGTGTTTTCCCCAAGAGTAGGCCTCTTTCCCCAGTGACCTCCATTCTCCCAATACACAGCAGGTCACAATCTGGTTCCTACCCTGGTCCTGGAACAATGCAGTTATGTCTTCCTGTAGAGTACAGTGCTTCTGTAAATTAACAGTACAAAAAAATGCATTTCTTTAGACAACTTTTTTTTGTATTGCTTTTTATGATTTGGGCCTAAAAGGTATGGGTTTTTTCTTTTTACTTTCTTATTCCAAAGATATGTCAGGAATAGAGTCCTGTTGGTCCTGGCAGCCAAACTCCTTGGAGTGTTATTGGCCATTAGTTGTAGCATTGGGGTTCTTTTTCTTCCTATTTCACAGATTTTTTCTTCAGTTTTATGCAGACCTTTAAGGTAAATTGTATTTTTTTCAGTTTGTCATTACACTTTTTGCTTTTTTTAATGTTCTTGGATCCATGCATAAAATAACTAATATTAGTTAGTTTAAAAAATCTGGAGCTTTCAAATTTCTGACAGGTGTTTGATCCCGAGCATGCTGGATTCATGAGGTTATACTGTAGTATATTTTAGGGAAACAGAGACTGAGAGGTAATCTTAAAAGTTTGATTTATTTAATCTAGCCAAACTAAGGTTGAAAAGGGGATTTAATTACTATTTATAAATATATTTGTGGAGTGAATATTAGGGAGAAGTGTTTAAATTAAAGAATGGACAAAGTTCTTTGGGTGAATCTTATATCTTTTATTAGACCAACGTAAATAGTTGGAAAACAATTATTAAGCAAGCTTTTGGGTTCAAAAACCCTTCGTCAGGCTAAGGAAGTTTCAGCAATTGGTGTGTGCTCTTCCTGGATGGAATGAAAAGTAAAGAAGCCAGAGGCTGGGCTGGTATGCTTACAAGACAGGTAGTCAGTGAAAATGTAGATTGAGTCGTCAATGGGTGACACACAGGCGGGGGAGGGGGGGATGATGAAAGTGGAGAGATACAAGAAATGCAAAACCTGCCAACACATCTCCACCACCCCCACTATTACTACACCCCACAATAGAGCCATCAGCATTCCTGGATCTTACAGCTGCACCTCCAGAAATGTAATATACCTCATCCAATGCACCAAATGCCCTGATGGAAAATACATAGGAGAGACCAAACAACAACTGCGCACCAGAATGAATGCACACTGGAAATCTAGCAAAGACAGAAATACCCAGTTACCTGTGGGGGCACATTTCTCACAAGAAAACCACTCTCTCTCCAATTTCTCAGTCCTGATTCTCAAAGGAAACTTACAAAACACTTCCCAGAGACCCCCCCCCCCAGCCTGTCTCTCACCCATTGACGACTCAGTCTACATTTTCACTGACTACCTGTCTTGTAAGCATACCAGCCCAGCCGCTGGCTTCTTTACTTTTCATTCCATCCAGGAAGAGCACACACCAACTGCTGATACTTCCTAAGCCTGATGAAGGGTTTTTGAACCCAAAAGCTTGCTTAATAATTGTTTTCCAACTATTTAAGTTGGTCTAATAAAAGATATCAGATTCACCCAAAGAACCTTGTCTGCCTATGTCCTTAGACCAACATGGCTACAACCTACACCCCTGTAAATTAAAGAACAACATCAATGCAAGATCAAATGGATGCACTAGTCACAAACAACTTCCTAGACTTACAGTTGGAAGATTTCTAACAGGTGTGATGTTTTGAAATAGTCTTACTAAAAAGTATGGTAGTGTGGGCAAGGAACCTGGATTGCTTCAAGATGAGCATGACAGGTTCACAAAACGGTAAGCAACAGTTGTTGAAGCAATAATCACTGCACATGATACGTAAGTATTGTATTATGTTCATGATGGGATTGAAAGAAAACTCCAGTATCTACGTAGAAAGTGTCTGGTAAACCCAAAACTTAGGGATTCTGTTGGTCACCTGTAGGGATAATTCCTCATGCACCCATTGCACATTTTAGCATTTCTCAGGGTTCACCTTCCTGTTTAGCAAGCATTAGGCACTAGTCACAGCTAGGGAAGTGTTTAGGTGGAATGCAGTCATGGTCTTACCAGTATATAGGAACCTGTCTGCCTGGCTAGAGGTTCTTGCTCATGCAATAAAGGTCAGACAGATTGCCAGTTTTGGGGTCATGAAGAAATTTTCCCTCCAGCTTTTGTTTTCTTCTGCAGGAGAGACATGGTCATCATCTTAGGTTCACGAGAACGTTATATTAACAAATTCCCTAATGTTGCAGTGTCCAAGATGTTGGCAATTAGAGCTGTGTGAAGCTTTGGTCGCTGATTCAATTTGGTGGAGATTCAGCCCAATTCAGTGGTCGCGTCTCCAAATCCGAATCAAATCAGTAGACCCTGTAATCTCTCTGAATCAAATTGGAACCCTCCGAATCGATTCGGAAGGATTCAATCATTCGGACATAGACACAGCTTTAAATGTTTTTCTACATACCTCAAGGTAGCAGGCAGCTCATGAATGCTGCAATGGTGGGGCAGATGGAGCGTCCCACAGGAGTGTGGGAGGGCCCCCCAGCGTGCTCGGCAGCAGACCCAGAAGTAGACCAGAAGCACTTCCAGGTCCGCTTGCGCCCCTCCCCCTTCCTGTATTCCTCCCGGCTCAGCAACTTGTGTCTCCTGGGTCTGGGGGAGTCTGGGAGTGCTTCCAGTACTTCTGGTCCACTTCTGGGTTCACCGCCCAGTACATGGGGGGGCCCCTCCAGGGGGCCCCCCCTGCTCCCGCGGGATGCTCCATCCTCCCCAGCATCATAGCATTCACGAGTTGCGCTTGGTACCTCAAGGTATGTAGAAAAAACACTTAAAGCTCTGTCTATGGCCAAATTGCTGATTCTCCAAATTAGCGTTGAATCTTCGGATTCGGCTGAATTGAATTAGGACAGTGATCCGAATCAATGAATCAAATCACTGTCCCTGATTTCAGGCCAAATCTGAATCGAATACAGCCCGTTTTGCACACCCCTGTTGGCAATGTCTTTATCTCCCTAGTTTGAATGCAGTTCAAATGGGCAATATCAAATTTTTCCCTTTGCATTTTCATATTTCAGATCTGATTGTATTCCTTAGAACAGATTATATGAATAAGTATAATTCTACTCCGAGAATTCAAATCTGTTACGTTTATGCTAGCAAAGTCAGACTGATATGAGGTGAGCTCTTTGTCAGCCTCACGTGTTCAGCAAATGTTGATATATTCAGAAAGGAGAATATGTTGTGGAAGACAGTCAGTACAATGAAACTTTTCTGTGTAGGAAAAGAAGTGCAACAAACGTTCTATAGCCATATGACTTCTCTTAATCCTCCGAAGCCACCTGAAGACTCATGCCTCAGACTGAATAGCAGTTCCACTTTCCTATATCAGCAAACAAGTGAAAATGGGGAGTCTGCATTCAGATGGGTGGTTTGGCTAACAGAAAATGCCAGAATAAACTTCCAACCCTAGATATTAAATCGGGAGAAAATCAATTAAGAAATAGAATATACTTTTTCTTTTTCCGTTTTGCTACTAGGGCAGGGGTTTCAACGATAGGACCCATGGAGCTGAAAATTTGTTGGTGGGATGAGTGGCAGCAGTGTTAAGTGTTGTTGCTTCCACTGCTTAACTCTTAACATCAAGACTTAGAACATATTTTAGGAAGATATTTTCATCGCTAGGTAATATTCATAGTTGACAAAATCTCCTTTCCCATCTCTACCTGGCCACTCCCACCCTGTAAGAAAAGGTTTTGGAACTTCAAATCTTTTGCAGCAGCAGTCAACTGTTTGTCCAGTGTACCTAGCCAGTAGTTTTGCATTTGTTTTTATGTTCAGACAGGCATACATTATCTATACATGAACTGTCCAACATTTTTGGGGTTTCATTATAATGTTCCTATACCCAGTTTTAAAATAAAAGGAAAAAATTATCTTACCGCATAATAAATTGATTGGGCAGCCAAAGCTGAGTTTTAAAGCTGATTAGAGCAGGAGTGCTCAGCTCCTGGCCTGCAGTGCTATGCCATCTGCCCCGCTCTGCTCCTCATGGGTCTGGAAATCTGGCAGTGGGAGGGCAGTAGTGTCACTCCCCCCACTGCCAGATTTCCAAGCCCATGTAGTGCCCCAGATGCTGCATGCTGGATTGGACACTCAATCCTAGTGTATAGGGCTGGGCAGGGTGGTGCCAGGCCCCTGAGACCCAACAATCCCAGCATGCTGTGGTGGGAGGCTGTAGGGCCAGGCCCCAGGGCTCAATACTGGCACACGGGACTCAATTCAGTCTGCAGACTGCCTTCCCCTGCTCATCAGCCCCATGGGGCCAAAAAGTTGAGCACCACTAGATTAGAGCATTAGGCTAAATGGTCATCAGTGAACCTGGTTTGCTATTCCTGTATTTCAGCAGAAAAAGTCAATTAAAAGGTGAGGAGAAAAATCTGTTATGGACAGCTTTGCTGCTGAATTTGTTTAATGTGCAGAGAAACAAACTGTTCCTGTTGCTTGATCATTGTGTTCCCACAGAGGATTAGTAAAAGCTGTCTGATATTTATAAAAACTGAATAGCAACACTTTAAATTCAAGGCATTATAGCAGTTCACTTTGTTTAAACAAGTTTTCCTAAAAATGGTTATCTTAATAACACAATTGACCAACTTACCTTCTTTTTTTTACTGTTTTAGAAAGCTCAATAAAATCACAAAGTTTATAGAGGAAAACAAAGAGAAATTCACTCAGTTGGATTTGCAAGATGTTCAAGTAAGGGAAAAATTAAAACATGCCAAAAGTAAAGCTAAAAAACTTCAGAAGCAACTTCAAAAGGATAAAGAAAAGGTATTTGTCACTTGAAACTTACTATATGTTTTAAATATGTAATTATTCTAAATAGGAGTTTCTGCCTTTGAAGATCACTTGCAAAAGAACTCTGGCTGCTTTATAACACAAAGGAGGCTTGAAAGGGTATTTGATTATTTTAAATGCTAAAAAAGACATCTGTGTGCTCTTGCTCATGTACCCACTAGTACTCCAATCCTTTGAGTGATGGAAACATTCTGCCACTACCTGCAGTAAAATGTCCTCTGATATTTCTTTTATCATCCAGAAGCAAAGTGATGGATACCTCATTATTGGGACAGAATTCATAAGGATGGCCTACCAGGCTTACACATGCACATCGGTTAACTAGCGCTCAGGATAGTCCACGAGATGTGCATTGTATGACCTGTTCTTAAGTTCAGTACAGGTGTACTTGGAATCAATTTTGGCACAACATATACCAATCAGATAACCTACCCCAATACCTTAAATTTCTTCAAGGGCCCCCTTGTAAAGAATCTGATTCCCCTGTTTGAACTACACCATTCATGCCCAGGAAAAAGGCACCTCCTTAATTTAAGAGTTGTCCTGGCAATTTTTTTGAAAAAATACATGGACCTTAGGCTATAGCACAGAAAATAAGGGAAGGACAGTTTTCATCCTAGGGCTTTCCAAGTAGATTTCTGAATGCATGAGTAATGAGATGCGCTTGCTTACAGTCATTAGGGCATTCGGGCAAAGGTTAAACTACACTGGCAGCTCTGCTAAGAAATGTATCTATCTCAGGGTATAGGTAGACTAAACAATTATACTTGGCTTTTAAATTATCCCAGTTTACCAAGGGTCATGTTGAACAAAGTATTTTGTCTATACCACAGTAAGTGGAACTAAACTGCTGTAACATCTAACCTATTTCCTTCGGTCATCCAAAAATATACTAATAGGAGTTGCCAGAAATAGAATGTACATATGGAGTATTGCTCAAAGATTGTGAAATTACTTACATTTTTTTTTACTAACTGGAGTTCTTTAAGATGTTGTCCATTATGAGCATTCCACAGGCCACCCTCTGTCCCTTCTTCCTTTTAAAATCCAGTGTTCCTGGGTTTGTACAACTGGAACTGGGACACAATAGATGCCCTCAATTTTCATTTTGTTGAGAAGTCATTGAAGAGGTGCTGCCAGAAATGAACAGAAAATGCTCCTCATTCCAGTATTTTCCTATATTAAAAAGAAGCAGCATCTCTATTCTATCCTAAATTTTAATGGAGTTGAATAAGCTCCACTTCAGTCCACTTTTTTCAATTATCCCATTCCTTCACATTCAAGACCATTTTGTGGCTTTTAGTCTTCAAGAGGTGTCATTCCATATAGCTATCCATCAAACCTACAGCAGGGCCCTCATTCACAGCATAGGCCAACAGTTACCAGTATGCAGTTCTATTATTTAAACTGTCCAGGGCATGAAAAACTTTTCCACAAAATCTTCCTACCTGTAGTGGCAGCACACTTTAGGAGAACAGCCATTCATGACTACTTGTAACTAGAAAACTGACTAGAGGCAAATCTCAGGAGACAGCAGCAGCTCTATATATACTATATAATATACTTTTTTTAGTCTCCCATCTAGAACTCTGTGAACTATCTATGATGGGTGATGTATTAAAGTTAATTTAAGTAAATCCAAGGTTAACAATGTGTGCTTGTTTTGGGTATATTAGGCCACATTGCAATGTAGACATAATGCCTTTTTGCCAGACTTCACTTACTGTCCACACCCTACATCTCTAATATGGTCCCGGAGTTGCACCTGCATCAGTTTAACACGTTGATCATCTTCCCACAATCATATCCAATACTAGGAGAAAAGAAACCATGTGCTTTAAATGTTTCAAGAACCTTTCTCTATTACTTTAACAATAACAGGCGTTAGACTTTCTCCTCACCCTTCTGTAGTCATATCTGACACTCTGAAAGGCCAAACCATCTCAACACAGAGAATCTAAGTCGATCATTCCCATTATTTCCTTCTGCAATCAGGATGTGAACCTCTCCATCAGTATATCAAGGCACACACTGGATTCTGGCAGGTCATAGGCAGCATCTTCAGCTTGCTTCAGAGTAAGGTAGAAGGCTATGGGGGGATATGATACAGGTTTGTAGAATCACAAAGTGTGTAAACAAAGTGAACAGTTCACCAAGTCCCAAAATACTAGAACTAGGAGGCAACAACTAAAATCAGAAGACAAATTTAACGTTAAAAAAGGAAAGTACATTTTTATGCAATGTGTAGTTCGGAAATTCATTGCCACAGGAGGTGGTAGAAGCAGATGTCTAGTCTTTTTTGAATCTAGCTATGCTGAGTTCATGGATGATAGATCTATTAATAGCTGTTGAATAGAATGGTTTAGAGATGTTTCTTCTGGCATTTCTAAGCCAATAATGGTGCATGCCAGGGAGAGTAATGGATAAAGGATAGATCATTCCAGATCTATCCAGTTAAATGTTCTCCCTCTAGCATCTGCTTCTGCCACTGCTGGAGATGAATTGTTAGCGTGACCCAATATAGCACTTCTTGGGCATGTCTACACAAGGTGCTTTACTGCACATTAGATTAATTTAATGAGTAGTAAATTGTCACTGTCCACATGTGCACAGGACTTGCTGCACAGAAAATTAGGCTAATGTGCTGTTAGCTAGTACCAGCAAATACAGGTACTAGCTTAACAATGCATTAGCTACTGTGCAGTAGTGCATGTGTAGATGCTGACCTGGTACAATTTGCTCTGGTCAGCCCAGGCAGCAGGGCGGGGCCCGCTGCTGCCTGGCTAAACCCTCATTCAGGAGGAGCTGTGCCATCTGCAGGGGCAGTTGTCTCCCCACCAGGTGGAGATCGGGACTTGGAGAGCTGTCAGGAGACAGCTCTGGTACTGGAGATGGAGCTGGCACCTGGGGGAGCCTGGAGTTTCCCCTAGCAGGTACAGGTGAACAGAACAGGGCAGGAGCAGCCCTAGACCGGGCTGCTTCTATTGGGCACAACCTGTGCCTGACAGGGCTCACTTGTAGACGTGTTCCTGGACATAGTTTACTGCATCTTATTTTACTGTGCAGTAGCCTTCCTGCACACTAATTGCACATGTAGACGCACCCCATATATCTTAAGATAGCAGTGTGGAACAACCAGTTTTGTTAAATATTATACCTTTCACGTGGCAGCCAGATTCAGTGCCAAATTGGGTAATGCTTCAAACAAGTAGTAAGTCAACCTTGAAATTGTTTGTTCCCAATGTCTGGATAGGGTGTTGACTACGGTTTCCTATAGTACAAGATTTGAATTGAGGCTTACTCAATAGTAACTGATTCATTGAGATGTGGGATCCATGTTGACTATATCTGCACTCCATCAGTACTTTTCATAGTCCTCACCAAAATGGGATCTGAATTGGAGGGGAACCAAGCATGAGTTTGTTACCCTGTTATAGGGGTGTCAGTTTGCAAGGAATATGGTAAATTCCAGTATACAAACTCACCCTTTATATTGCCATACAGTTGTAAAGTACATGTCACCACTACTGTTGAAGAGACTCCCATCTCAAATGAGGCATACACCTCGTATGTACGTACACTCCACTCTACTAAATCATCCTGAACCTGGTTACTACAGTGTAAATACCCATCCTATAACCCTGCAAGTCTGGATTTAGCATGATCTTTAATAGAAGACACATTGGTCTGGTCGTCTTTCTTTTCACTGGAGTAGATCAGGCACTGGGAACCTTTTTAAGCCATAGGCTAGAGCAACCCTGCTTTGGTCCAAGCATGGGTGGGTAGCTTTAGCGGGGAGTGAGGAACAGCGACATCCCTGTTGCTGTACCAGAGCCATGCAGCTGAAAGCTGTTTCCACACTGCTGCCACTTCTTCCAGCTACCCACTACCTGGCTGTAGTCTTAGCACAGCTTCCAGCTGGAGGGGTGCTGCTCTGGGCCTGGGGAGCCAGAGGCTGTTTCCAGGCTGATGCCACTTCTTCCTGTACCTACTTCCTGCATACACCCAGCCTGATGTGACTTCCCTCCAGCTGGAGTGGTGGGGTGAGCAGCAGCACAGGCACAGCTTCCAGCTCCCCAACCCCAGCATAGCTCTGTGCTGCTGCCTCAGTAGATAACCAGTCTAAAACTGGTTTAAACCCAAGATGGGACAGATAAGAGACAGGGAATGTGTCTAATTTGATTACTCTGATTCAGAATTCCCAGTTTTTGATTAATGCTAGACCTGTCTGACAGGAACTGAGTGAGGCTACTTGTAGGAAATGCTGTGCCAAACAGTCTAAACTCTAAACAAGTGATCTTTACAAAATAGCAGTGTACTAGATGGAATGACTCTCTTGTGCTCACTCAGTTAAATAATACTGGTAAATAAAACTGCTCCTTAGAATACTTCCTATATGAAATTCCCTTCTGAAGCAAGGACATTTTTTGCAGCTCTATGCAGCTGAATGTTAAACTGGCTCAGCATATCATGGCTTGGACTTTTCACGTTTCTTCAGTTTTCCCTTATTACTTAATGTAGCATACAGCGGCAAAACAAAGACAAAAGAGATTATATTTTATCAGTTAATGGAAAAGATAATTTTCTTCCTTCATAGGTTGAGGAATTAAGAAATGTTCCTGCCAACAGTAAGACAGAAATCAGAGAAGCAACATCTAAGAAAGAAGTTCTTGAAAAGGAGAAGGAAAGAGAGGAGGAAAAATTAAAACAAGTTATGGATAGCCTTAAATTGGAAACACAAGGTCTTCAGGAAGAAAAAGAGGTTTGGAATATTTATGTTCCTAGCGTTTGATTTAATGTTTTAGAACTAACTTACATAAAAGTGAAGAGTATTTTGGGGAAACTCTGTTAAATAGTGAGTATTGAGTAATTCAAAATATAGGGCTGGTTGGAAATTGGAATTTCCAGTGTGGGAAACCTGATTTTTTTTCTAGAATTTGTATTAATTTAATTTTTCTAGAATTTGTTTGGACCCAGCTGCTCTCCACACTGCTGTGCTGCGTTCCTGGCCGCCTGCGTGCTGTGCTGCAGCTGCATTTTTCAGCAACATTATCGGCTACATCGGCCAAAAAAAGCTGATTGCCAATACTGAAAATTTTCCTTATATTTGTGCAAATCAAGATATGGGATTAATATATCAGTGCACCTTTATATATTAAATAAATAAAAAAGAAAGAAAGAAAAAAGTGTTATAGGAATGGATACTGCCTTACTTTCTACCATCAGCAAAAATCTTAAAATTCATACATTGCCACAAAGTTTAGACATCAATAAACCTACATTTTCCCACAGAAAATGTTTAAAGATTTTTTTGGATTACTTTGTTTAGTTTTTTACTCCTAATTTATACAAAACACAAGCTATTTACTGTAGTTGTTTTTGTTTAAAACTTGTCATTCCTTAAAACAGAATCTGTGTGAAGCTGACTTTGCTTTGTAATATTGCTACATTCTTGTTTTTTGGATCCTGCATATGCAGCTCCTTTAGTTCTGCTTAGTTCTGGAAGAGCTTCTAGCTTCTTTTTGCTAGTTGAGTAAATGACAAAGTTGTTTCCAAATCCATATTCTCAAATTGCCTTATTTTATTGAAACATACCATATCTTTACTTCACTTTGCTATGGTGTTACTCTTAAATCTAGGATGGGGTTAGGCATGGGCAACTAGCTATGATTATAGTGTACTTGTTCTTCTTGGTCCCCACTAAAACTCTACTTTCAGATTCCTGCTATGGCAGTAGACTATTTTTTCTCGACTGAATCCACTCTGCAAATATGCCTTCTCTTCCTATTTGGGAGACGAGCTCTGTCTCTGCTAATTCAAATATATTTAGAATATATATGCATGTTCAGTCATCCCAACAGTGTATTATTGTAATTATTTTGAGTGTAATATATTACCCATTTCTACAGGTCAAAGAAAAAGAGCTTATGGAATTCAATAAAACTGTGAATGAAGCCCGTTCAAAGATGGATGTAGCTCAATCAGAACTGGATATCTACCTCAGTCGTCATAATACTGCTGTGTCTCAGTTAAATAAAGCAAAAGAGGTACTAATGACTACTTCAGGAACTCTAAAAGAAAGGATATCTACTATCAAAGAGCTTGACACAAAATTACCTCAAGCTGAACAGGAGTTAAAGGAGGTTAGACCATAAGTTTTTTTTAATATTTCATGTTTTAAAAAACATTCATTCAGGAGCTTTTTTTTTTTTTCCTTTAATGTAGTCATACTGTACATGAAGTGTAGTTCTACTCTGAAAAGCAAAAGTAGGTGCATCCATAATTGGTAGATCTCTATTCCCTAAACCCATTTAATCACCTGTTCAATTCCATAGCTTCACACCCCTCCCTTCACTTGAGTGTTCCTCTCATTTGCTTGGCTAGCATTGTGCTAATTGTCAACCATGATCTACTCTGACCTGAAATTCTTGAATCTAAAGGCAAAGGGTTTCAAATTTTATGTTTTACCCTTGATACTTGAATATAGTTTTATTATTATGATTATGATGATTATCATTATCATCATACAGTTCTGGGGTATTCTCTCACTTACTTAGTGTGACTGGGCCTCATCATGGAAGATGCGCCAGTCAGCATCCTGACTGACAAGACCCAATTTTGCTTAACATCTTTTCCTTTTGGTTTTCTTTGTTGTCCATCATCATGACTTTTCTCAAGTCTCTGGTATTTAAAGCTGTGACCAATTTGTGAAAACCTCAGACCCATGACAGATGGGCATGTCAGGTTCCTATATTGCCTGCAAGTTTAATTACTAGGAAATGGTCCCTTTGTAAATCTCTTACTTTCTGGGTCAGAAAGGAGCAAGAGGCCAGGTTCCTTGAGGGTGCTTAAATCGTCTTCAAGGACACCACCAACATCTTCTGTACTGGAAAATGCCTCCACAGAGTGCAGAGAGAGATCCCTATTCCATGGAAAATCTCCTTATGGAAATGTCACCATGTCCTCAACCTTTTCATGTCCCAAGACTTCTTAGGCTCAAGTGGATCTTGTTGGAGCTTGGCAGTTCCCAGGAGAAACTCCAGAACCAGCTTTTGGTTCCATGGCAGCTGTCCTAGCAACGCCCAGAAACAAGTACCTAAATTAGCATTCCTCAGCTTTGCCTTCTCAGCATGATGAGCTTGCTCCAGCCACTCTTGGGTTAGACGCATCTCACACCCCATCCCAGCTGGTAGTCTCCACTAGTGCTGACACATTTCGTAGCTATGAGTGACTTGGAAACTCAGATGAAACCAAAATCTGTTACTTTCTCTATCTCTGCTGACACCATCAACAGGCTTACCCAATTCACGCTTGTCAGCTCCAGCCATAAACGTGGCTCGTAGGTGCCCCAAAGTTGGACAGCCCTGTACTGATGTATAATACTGTGCAAGTATGTGACATTGAATTAAATGCTAAGATTAAGTACTAGGAATATCTATGCAAGGGAATTAATTCTAGGACTTTACAGTTAAAAATAAGAAAGTAAAAGTATTTTATTATAACAACTTTTAATTCCATATATTACATTTTTCTTTCTTTTTTTTCTGAATAAGGCTGTGATTCTCTAAGGACCTGGTTGTCCATCTCCCTTAGACAACTTAAAAAAATATTCTAAATGCTTGGGTTCCTATATTATGATATATCAAAGTGTAAAGCTCACAAAAGAAGTTTGTTTGCTTGTCTGTTTTCACTTCATTTTGATAAGTCATTGTCTTAAGAATATTTGGACTTCAAATAATATGTTGCTTCTCACACTATGAAATAAATATTTTTGTTGACTTTGTTTACATTGTTAGAAAGAATGTAAGCTTGAAAAACTCGGAAGACAGGAGTTGGACATTAAAAACCTTGTTCGGGTACAACGTCAAAAAGTAGAAGCAGCAAAAAGTTCTTTGGCAGTCAGTTGCAGTAGAGGAAGAGTTCTTGATGCTCTACTTCAGCAGAAGAAATCTGGAAAAATTCCTGGAATATATGGGAGATTGGTAAATTTTAAGAATTTCAAATCATAGTAAGTTAAGATTGGAAGGGACCTCAGGAGGTCGTCTAGTCAAGTGGGTCTGAACCTTTTTTGTACCAGGACCCATTTGTAAACATTGGCCAGTGTTGACCCAGTGTCCCCCAGTATGTGGAGCATGGGGGCCCCCAAGCAGCCCCTTGCAGGCTGGAACTCTGACAGCCTGCAAGGGAAAAGCCACAGGTTTCCCATGTTTTTCTCCTTTTAAAGGAGAATCCATTTTTAAAGTTTGTTCGCGACCCTTTCGTACTTTCTTGTGACCCACTTTTGGGTCGCAACCCACAGGTTGAGAGAGACTGATCTAGAACTGCCACAATTTGTTCTTGTGTCAAGATCCGCTCGGGACAGGTAGCTGAGGAACCGTCAGGAAGCTGTTTACAACTACTTGATGCTTCTGGACCAATCTGCACTTGCCCGGCATAAATTAAAACAGTTTATGGGCTGCTTTGCCCAAAGCCAGTTGTCAGTGGTTCTCAACCTTTTTTGTACCAGGACCCATTTGTAAACATCAATGGCCATTCCCCACCCAATACCCCTCACTGCTGACCTGCTACCCACTGCGCCCAGGTCTCATCCCTCCAGTGTGCAGGGCACAGGGGGTCTCAACCAGCCCCTGACAGGCTAGAACTCTGCCAGCCTACAAGGGAAAAGCTGTGATTTCCCACATTTTCCTCCTTTTAAAGGAAAATCCAGTTTTAAAGTTTGTTTGCAGTCCTTTCATATATTGTTGCAACCCACTTTTGGGTCTGGACCCACGGGTTGAGAAAAGCTGTCTTGAACATACATAAGCCTATAATTGCTAGAACCACTGTAGCCTCATCACATCCCCTTGCTGCCTTAGCAGGATTTAGATTGGGGCTTGTTGAGATTCAGCGAACATAGTCAGTGGCCACGTCTACATGAGAGGCCAACCGCAGTTGCCCATGACTACTGCACAGTACCGTCACATGGCAGAAAACATGATGTAATGCTATTGACTAGTAGTCTCAGGCTACTGTGCAGTCGGCATCACAACTGCACAGTAATGACTGTGCAGTGTCTTGGTTACCTGGCCATCATGACTCTTCCATGTTGGAGGAATGCCTAGGTGAGTGCTGCTGGTCTTTTGCATCGCAAGAAAAAATAACAGATTTGACCCAGATAATCTCATGTAATATCTGTATTTTAGGTAGAAACATCTGGAAACTGTTAAAATGCAGTGTGTTGAGCATCACATCTCTCTTTAAATGTAGTGTGATCTAGAAGACTACTACACAGTGCCTGTTTTTTAGGTGTGCACTGATAAAGATTTTCTTGCCCAATATCGGTAGCCAGTTGTTAGTCAGCCATATTGGCTGATACTGATCCAATAGCCAATTTACAGGAATGCAGCCCGGCAGCATGGAGACCAGCCTCCTGATAGTAAGTCTGTGGAGGGGAAGGAGCATTGGGGGGCAGATCAAGGCCCCCACGGTGAGTGAGGGAGTGGGGCCAGGGGCAGGTGCTGCTCAGCCAGGGCAGTGAATGCGACCCTGGGGCCAGGAGTGGGACAGAGCTGCGGGCAGATGGTACAGGGTGGGCGGGGGCTCCCTGCTGCTGTGCACTCCCCTGGGGGAGGCATAGGGGCATGCTCCCCCAGATTTGTGTGCAGGATGGAGGTGGGCTGCCTGCTATGGGCTTGGGGCCAGGGGCTGTATCAGCCTTTTCCCACCAGGGGGGCTGGACGGGCTGTGCTTGGAGCGGGCAGGGACGGGGTGGGCTCAGCTGAGTGCGGAGGATGGTAACAGTGCTGGAAGGGGTGTCTACATTGGGGCTACAGGTAATTTTGGGGTGGCTATAGCCTGTCCCTAGCACTGACCTTGCTTGGAGCACTCCACTCTGCTACCTTTCCCTCGGGAACCCTGGTGCTCGAGCACGGGCAGCACGGGGAGTTTGGGGGGGGCTATAGCCATCCCAAAATTCCCTGTAGCCACACCTCCCAGCACTGCCACTGCCTGCCCTGCACATCTGGCCTACCCTACTCCCACCCCTCCACCCCCCAAAAAAAAAAAAGAGGAAGAGGCTGGCATAACCTCTGGCCCAAAGACCACAGTGGGCAGCTTGTCCTTGCCCCACCACGAATCTGGGTGGGTATATGCCACCCATGCCTCCCTCAGAGGTATGTGCAGCAGCAAGGAGCTGCTGCCCCCCCTCACAGCTCTGTCTCTGCTCTCAGTCCATGCGTCACATTCATCACCCTGGCTGAGCAGCCCCTGCCTCAGCCCCGCTCCCTCCCTCTCTGTTGGGGCCTCAATCTGGGTCCCCTCCATCCGCCTTCCCTCCCCCCCGCCCCTTCCTCCCCCGTAAACTTACCAGCAAGACACTGCTCTCTTAAGCTTCCAGGCTGCATTCCTGGCCATGTGCATGCGGCATTTCTCGGTGACATTATCAGCCAAAAAAAGCTGATTGCCAATAATGTTAATTTTCCTGTTATCGGTGCTGATGCAATATGTGACTGATATATCAGTGCACCTCTACTATTTTCTATTAAGCATTTTTCTCTTATCTACTTATCAAAACAAAGGGAGATGCTATAGCTGATTCAGTAGGCAAAGGATACTTATGTCTAGGGGCCTGACTTAAATTGCTGGTCCAGCTCTCTGATATCGTGGCCTGATGGTGGCAGGGGATCCTTTTTTGCATCCAGATCATGGTGCGCCCTCCACATCCCCTAACTACCTGAGGGACAGGTTTAGGGCCAGGTTTAATTGCAGCAGTAGAGGTCTTGCTCCTAAAGCCTCTGATCACTGGTGAAAAGCTCACAGGGAAGAGATTGCAAAAGGGACAGAGGGAGGAGAGAGTTTGGGGATTGGTAGGGGATGTACTGTTTGCTCCTTCAGGCAGGAAAATGGGGGGGTTGGGGGTGCCTGGGAGCTGCCATGCCATATGGCCCTGGCACTAGGTAGGGTCAGGGCTGTTTGCTCCTGTGTGCATGTGATCTCCCCCCAACCCCCCTCATCCCAGTTTTCCCCACTCCTCTGGGCTGCTAGGCTTTTGCTGCTGCCTGGGGAATACTTTTCCCAGCCTATGGCAGCCATCTTGTTGCAGCAAAATGCCATGATATGGCTGCTTGTTGAGGAACTCCCAGCAAAAGCCCATATTGTGGCATTTTGTTGCAAATCAACGTTTTTCATGAAAATCGCTTCATTTTGTGATTTTCACAAAAAATGCAAAATCGTGATTTAAACCAGGCCCTACTTACGTTATGGAACACAGAGCTTTGCTAACAATAAAAATGCAAGGTTCTCCACCTTGGGAGGAAAAACCTGCAGCATCCTTACAGGCTCGATAGTGCTACGCTGGTTAGCACTACAGATGAAAGGGACTTGGGGGTCATGGTTGACCACAAGATGAACATGAGCCTTCAGTGTGATGCTGCGGCTAGTAAAGCGAGCAAAACGCTGGCTTGCATCCGTAGATGCTTCTCAAGCAAATCCCAGGACATCATTCTCCCATTGTACTCAGCCTTGGTGAGGCCGCAGCTGGAGTACTGCATCCAGTTTTGGGCTCCACAATTCAAAAAGGATGTGGAGAAGCTTGAGAGGGTGTAGAGGAGAGCCACGCTCATGATCAGAGGTCAGGAAAACAGACCTTATGATGAGAGGCTGAGAGCCATGGGGCTCTTCAGCCTGGAAAAGCGCAGGCTCATAGGTGGCCACCAGATCACCCCTAAGTTTATCAGGGGTGCTCATCAGGATCTGGGGGAACCTGTTCACCAGAGCACCCCAAGGGATGACCAGATTGAACAGTCACACACTCCGCCGCGACCAATTCAGGCTGGACGTAAGGAAGAACTTCTTCACTGTCCGAGCCCCCAAGGTTTGGAATAGACTGCTGCCAGAGGCAGTTCAAGCACAAACTTTGAATGCCTTCAAGACAAATTTGGATGCTTATCTTGCTGGGATCCTATGATCCCTGCTGACTTCCTGCCCCTGGGGTAGGGGGCTGGACTCAATGATCCTCCGGGGTCCCTTCCAGCCCAAATGTCTATGAAATCTATGAACAGAGTTTTCTGAGTGATAAAGGTTCAGAATTATGAAAACTATCTGCTCAGACTGGTATTACAGAATCGGGGGAAGGGAAACACTGCTCAAATAGTACATTGTAACTGCATACTATGATGTTGGTGATTATAAAACAAAATTTGATTGAACATTTTTCTCAAAGAAGTTGGACAGTTCCAAAAGGGTATCCTCTAAAAGGCAGGACTGAAATTAGTGGGCAGGACCACTAGTGCAACCCTTCAAACCAAAATAGAGGGTACTGCAAAAAATGGGCTAAAATTGGAAACACACCTGGTAACTGGAGTTGAATATACCATTTCACAGTAGTCAAATGCAGGGTAAAAAGTTGGGTAACAAATTTACTATTAGCACATGTATAATGCTATATTTAAACTACTATAGAGAGAGAATTCTCACAACTCCTCTCCCCCCAATGAAAAACATTTATGTGCATTTCAGAAATGGGAAAAGTGAGGTAGAGGTTAAGAAACTGTGAGTTAAATAACTTTCAAGGCCACAGAGGATGAATGATAGATTGGTTTAATAATATAAAAATCTTATAAATCTTTTTATTTGTAAATTTTATTGTGCTTTACAAAGAAGGGCCTGCATCATTAAGCTTCATTTTATAGATAGAGAAATTGAAATGTAGCATGGTAAAGTGGTTTGCCAAAGTTTACCAGGGAGGGCAGTGACAGAGCCAAGAACAGAACATAGATCTCGTGTCCAGCAGGCCATTTTGACTCACTAAAATGCTAGTCTAAGTATCTGAATTTGTCTAGCTATTTTAATCTGATAATATTTATTGCTTTTAACGCCAGAATCATTATTCAGGTACCACTCATCTATACATTTATGAACCTTGGGTTGCATTAATACGTTTCTTTTGTCTTGTTTGTTAAAACAAAAAGATGGTAATATGTCGTTGTCAATCACCATACTGATCAAAATGTTTTTATCCTTTGTCAATTACTAGGGAGACTTGGGAGCTATTGATGAGAAGTATGATATTGCTATCTCCTCATCTTGTGGTGCCTTAGACTACATTGTTGTTGATACAATAGATACAGCTCAGGAATGTGTGAATTTCTTGAAAAGGCAAGGGATTGGAGTTGCCACATTTATAGCCTTGGACAAAGTAAGTATTAGTATTCTTGAGATAAGTCATACTACTGACTCTTCTTGTGTTACAGAATGTACTTAATACCACCATCATAACCCATAGGTTGAGTAAAGCTAGATATTTTTTCTATTGGATATCAGAGCTTTAGAACTATTCCAACAGCATAGAGAATCTCTGTTTCACAATGTTTACCCTCGCTAGTGACTTCTATCTGGAAAAAAATCTTCACTGTGATGTACAATAAATATTTTTGTGCACTTGTACAAATAACTTGAAGTTGAATTTGTTCATAGTTTAACAAAAGTATTAGTACTTATGTAGACATTTCTTGGACATTTTTTATTATGAAAATAAGAGCACTCCTTTAATATCAGTTATTGCCCATTTGCAATGTCAGGATCATTGCAGCAGCTGTATGATGCCAGAAAACTACTGGGAAAATGCATTCAAAGGCATCTTGTTTATTTTAAACTGGATAAATGGTGTTTTAACTTACTGTAAATTTTTATTTTCCATATAGATGTCAGAGTGGACACAACATATGAGTAAAATCCAGACTCCTGAAAATATTCCTCGTCTATTTGACTTAGTGGAAGTAAAAGATAAGAAGATTCTCCCAGCCTTTTATTTTGCATTACGTAACACTTTAGTAGCCAACAACTTGGAACAAGCCACCAGCGTAGCATTTCAAAAAAACAAAAGATGGAGAGTAGTAACTTTGCAAGGACAAATCATAGAACAGTCAGGTATTTAAAAATATAAAACTAAAAGTATTTGTTCATGATTTTTTAAGGGGGTATCAAATCAATTTATCATTCTAATATCTTTACCCATTTCACTTTAGGAACAATGACTGGTGGTGGAGGTAAAGTACTGAAGGGGAGAATGGGATCCTCAGTCATGGTTGAAATTTCAGAAGAGGAGGTTAGTTCTAATATAAGTAGAAATAGTATTTCTAGTGAAATTTATTTACTATATTTATTTTTCTAGATTTTGATGGTTCATACGTAAATACTATGCAGAAGCAAATCAACATCTCTGGTAACATACAACCTCTGGAAAACACTGAGTTAAACAGATATGGCTAGTACTGATATATTTCAAATTGCACTGATTGCTTTGTAATGTACGTTAACTTTTATAAAGCTGTGGGGGCCGAGGGGGAATCGAGGATCGGGAACCCTCGGGAATGCTAGCTGGGGTTGCGGCTGCGATCCCGTAGCGGGCAGATGGGTACTCTCTATCACCGGAGCGGAATTAGGCACAGACAAGACACGTATCAATTGGAAAAACAGAGATGGCTTTACTTACACTGTAGAGTCGTACACAGCGCAGGCAATCGTAGTTGCAACAATTCTACTCTCTAATCGCTAATCGGGGAGCTCTTGTAGACCGGGTAGCTTGGTAACTCGGGCATGCAACACAGAGGATACGTCGTAAGGCTTCGTCGATGGGGAGTCGTTGGCAGGTGATCAAGCTGCCGGAGTTCCACTCCAGGGGGAATCGCGGAGTTCTCCAACTAGGGCGGAAACGCCCCTAACCTTTTATACGGCTAAC